GTATGTATTTATTTTTTTTTTTTTTTTTTTTTTTAATTGGAACAACTAGTTGTAGAGTTCTGAAGTCATTCTGTAATGAGATAAATAGAGATAAATTGAATTAAACTATGAATGAAATAATGTGTATGTATTTATAAATTTTATTTTATTTAATTTATTTCCATTTTGATTGACTGCGCAAACAATTTTGATTAAAAGAGAAACATTTAATAGTTTTTATAGACAAAAAATATTTAAATTATAGACCCCATAAATGATTTTTTATATTTTTCCGTAACTCTTGATTTTTAAGCACTTTTAAAAAACGAAAATATAATTTACTCCAGCTTAGCCTTTGCCATTATTCTGTTAAATTTTGCATGCCTACTTTCAGGCACTTTGTGCAAAACTTTTTTTTTTTTTTTTTGTGCAAAACTAACAATTGGTCAAAGCAAAAGCAGCTGAATGTGGCAAGTGTTGCTCCAAGTGGACACTCGACTTTAACACTTGCGCCCCACTTGCTAGACACCCACCCTCTGACTTGCACTAGGCAACCCTACACACACGCACACACAGACACACACGTATTGTTGACATCATAATTAGAACGTAACCGACACACACACACACACTTGCATACATTCGCACACGCATTCAGAGTTGACTTAAAAACAAATTGCGCTGCACTTTTGCACCGTCCTACTCAGATTTATGACACCGCCTCGCCCGCCCCATTTTCCCTTGTCCATTTAGCCCCAACTGTTCCGACACCTTAGACATCCCACGATTCGCAGCACCCCTTTCAGTCGCTCATGTGCCACATTTCCACATTTCGTGCTACATTTTAATTCGCTGGTTGCGGGCGAATGTTGAAAAACTCATTAACTGTGCACGCTACTTGGCACCTTTTTTTCGCAAGTTTTTCTTTTTTTCTACTTTTTCTTTTTGGCTTACAATTTGTTCTCACTTGCCTCATTCGCTCACTTTGTGCGCGTTCTTTTTAGATATTATGCTCCCCCTCTCTCTCTCTCCCTCCTTCTCTCTTTCGCTCTCTTTGTCTCTCTTTCACAGTTTGGTTTCTCTCTTCTTTTTTAATTCAGCAGCCAGCAGGTCGAGCCCTCATTTGTGGGCGAAGGTCGACAACTTATCTGCATGGCAGCCTTTCTAGGCATTCTCACTCTATGTGAGGCTGTGTGTGTTCTATTGTGGGTGTGCACATACATGATTGCACAATAAGCCGATTTGAGCATGGTCTCCTTCTTAAATCGAGCAAAAATATTATACCAAGCACTTGAAGAGGAAACGCGAAATGCAATAAAATTAATTAAAATATAATCAAGAGCCAAACCACAGGCGACATTAATTAACTTGATGTATAGACTAACGAATAATTAGGAATGTGCAGAAATATAAAAGACAAAAAATATATAAAAATAATAAATAATACAATAAATTGTTAAAAATATAATAAGCATGCTAAAAATTCCATAAAAAATGTATAAGACAAAAAATATATAAAAATAATACAATAAATTGTTAAAAATATAATAAGCATGCAAAAAATTCCATAAAAAATGCTTGAAATTAAAGATATATATTCTCATACTTTCCCCTCTTCAATATTGCTTAACATTTATTAACAGCAATAACAAAGCCGAATATTTCAACTGAACTATAAAATATATGAGTAATATTGTTTTTTTTTTTTTTTTTTTTTTTTTTTTTTTTTTTTTGTAATAAATAGCTTGGCTCGTATGGCCCATAACACTTTTGCTTAAAATTGTTATTAATTAAAAGCATTTTTTATGCACTTTATATACATACATATAGGAATATTATTTTTATATATTTTACTGCCCTTCCCTTTATGTGAAGCAACACATGCACTTGTTTGTACATTGTCAGTCTCAGCAAAGCTGCAAAAAATACCTCTTTGTCTCTCTGCCTCTCAGCTGAAAAAATAACACTTTGCCCAACAATTCGGAAACGACATTAAAAATGGCGAGAGCCAGGCATTTAAAATGCAACTGCAAACAAACAACCAAACCGGATAGAGTGGCACTGCACTGCAACAACGATGCTGCACCCCTCACCCTACCTCGCCACACCACATGGACAATTGCATTGTTGGGTTGCACTCGTTGCAATTTGGTTATCGTATGAGTGTGAGTATATATACGTACATGTGTATGTGTGTGTGAACTTAGGGCCAGTTCAGCAAATGGTAACCCAAAATAAATGCAGCAGGAATATGTCAAGTGCGGTAATGCCGGACAACAACAACAACAACAACAAACAACGATTCAACCAGCCCGACTGAGGCTCATTGTGTGTCCTCAGACCGAGTCTGAGCCTGATGCATTGCGCATATTACTCAAAAATAATGAAAAAGAGCAGCAAACGTTGCTGGCGGCAGTTTGTGATTTTAGGTTATTCATTTCTTTCTTTTTTTCTTTTCTTTTTCAACCACAACATACACATACGAACACACGCACACACACACCGCCCACTGTTAACACTCATCAACGGCGCCATTTATTTTGCGGCCGCCATTTTGTTGCAGCTGGCAAAATGGCCGCACAACCGTTACGGCTATTTCGAGAGCTCACTGCAGAAATCAGCTCTTAATACACAAATAAATGCCGCATTTCCATACACGTGCACACATATGTGTGTATGTATATGTATATGTATGTATATGTATATGTATATGTATAATACTGTCTGTTTATAACATTTGTCCAGTGTCTGTCGGCAAAACGAAAATATTTATGTTGCAAATCTTTGCGGCTCGACGTTATTTTTATTTCTGTATTTGGTTCTCGTTTCTCAGTGTTTCGTGACTTGTTTGTCTTGTCTGCATATCCTGCAGCGATTTCATTTTTGTTTTTTTCTTGCGTATTTTGTTGTTGTTCTCGCTTCTCGCTTTGTTTTGGCTGCAGCACTCAACGACGACGTAGAGCGACTTTCATGTACATATATAGAAATATATATCGTTGTAAATGGGATTTGTTGCCTGGGCCGTCGCGTAAACTTCTCATTTATTAGCTTTCGTTCATGTGTGTGTGTAAAAATATTTTGCAATTTTTATAAGCACATATGTGTGAGTGTCTGTGAGTGTGTGTGTGTGTGTGTGTGTGTGTGTGTGTACGTTTTCCTGGCACCAGAACAAACAGATTTATTCGTTTAGAAAACTTTGTTTCCTTATCTGTGTTCGTGTCTTTGTTTGTGTTTTATGTCTCATTTTAGGCGAAGCTGGAAGCTAGCTCGTGAACGGGCTCTGGTACTTGAGTAAATAATCATAATGGAATTTTTAAGGCTTATGACAATTTAACATGTAACCTGTGCACACATATGTGTTTGCGTGTGTCTGAGTGGGAGTGTGTGCGTGTGTGCTTGGGTCCCGTTTCGGTCGGCTGCCTAAGGGTTAACAACGAGTTATGCGGTTTTATCAAAACATTTTATATGAACTGCAAACCTTAATTGGAATTTATGTACGAAAGAAAGTCAACTTTTTTTTTGTTTCTTTCCCCATTGATAAATTACTAAATGATAAAATATGTTTTTAATAGTTTATTGCTCTGCAGTTAAGAAATGGAAATAAAAGCAAAGACATTAAATTTAACTTTAAAATATATTCAATTAATTGAAATTTGATTTTTAATTTTAGTTTAAGTGCATTGATAAATATTTTTCAAATATATTTTTCCTTATTTATTTATTTTATTATTATTATTATTGTTATTATTATTATTATTATTATTATTATTATTATTATTATTATTATTATTATTATTATTATTAAAATCATTATTATATATTATTATTTTATTTTATTTTTATTTATTTTTTTTTATTTTTATTTATTTTTTTTTTTTTTAAGAAAATTGAGAGAAAATACATCATAGTTCCAGGAAACAAAATAAATTAAATATGCAATTCATTTCGCTTTTTCTGCTTCACATGTCTGCAGCATATGCAAACAAATGGAATTCAATTTACAGGGTATGAAATAGTCAAACAGTCAATGCAAACACATTGTTGGGCTCAGCAATCATCGCTTCATTGTAATTAAGAGCGGCAGTTCATAGAGTATGTTATCATGTAAGAGAATTTGTAACGGAGATCACGCTCTCCCTTTTGCGTTGTCTCTTTCACCCACGCACCGGCTCAGCTTAATCCGCCGGCTCGCGTACATTGTAGTTAGTATGCAATTAACTCTTGTTTAGAGCAGATGCAGTGTTAGATTGACTATTACAAACATAGTAGCGGACAGCACGACAGACTAGTCGCTTGCTCGCGTCTATCACATAAACTCTGTAAACTCTAATAATCGCTAATAAACTAATCACTAAGTAAATTCAATCGTTTAATAATTTAAAGCTATTCGAAAAATCTCGATAGCTCAACATTTGGTGACCCCGACGTGATTCTCTTTTCGTTTCTTTACATATTTGCATATATATATTGACAGCATCACATACATACATACACCCGTGAACATAAGCAGTGTATATAGCGATTAGTTGCGTGCCGTTACTTTGCCAATTCGCCAGACACTCTTTCGTTCGGTCTGCAATACACTGGCGCCCGTAAAAGTAGTACACATGCGAAAACTTCTGCAAATGACAATCTAATAAAGAATCAACTAATTTCTGAACTATGTCTATGGTTAGTGACTGCGTGTTCTATAGCTTCAATCTATAAGTGATTAAGTTTACATAAGCACAGTGTAATTACATGCTTGCCGTTATTCTTCGTTGACATTGCACTTTTTCGCCACGGCTGCGATACGAGCGCGTCCATAATAATCGTACCGGTGTGCAACAATTCATACGTGTATATTATTTGAGTACCATAATATAATTCTTTGCCAGTTTATTAAAGTTGCAAGTACTCTGCTCGACAAATACGACTTATTCCAAGTTTGTGTCTGCGCTATATATACATTTACTTACTCTTGCAATCGCGCTCGCACCAACGACTTTGAACTCTATCGTGTTGCTCTTGCTGTACTCGTCATGGCGAATTTAGATGCTAGTGCAGTTGCTCCCGAAGATCGCGTGCGGTTTTATAAGCTCAAGGTACAGTCGGTGTTTGAACGCGTAAAAAAGCTACAATCCAAGGTCGATTCAGATGCTCTTGCCGATCACAGTGACAGCACTCTAAATGTTCTACTGGAGCATATCGACAAGCTAAGCCACTCCTTTAGCAAGGCCCATGAAAGTCTAGAGGAGCTCGACTTTACTGAGATGTCCAGCAATTTGCGCACTGACTTTGATGATTTAATAATGGTCATGCAGTCAACAATAATGTCCGAAGTGCAAAGTCGTACTGCTCAAGTGCATCATAGTTCCACGTTTAGCCGTCCAAGTGACCCTCCTCGCGCATCCGCTCCCAGATTGCAGGCTGCACCTGCGTTGCCGCCATTAAAGCTACCTACGTTCAGCGGTGGATATGCTAATTGGGCTGATTTCTACTCAATGTTTTCTACAATCATTGAAAGTCGGCCAGAAATCAGCAATATGGAAAGACTTCAGCACCTCCGGTCCTGCCTCGATGGCGCAGCGTTGGATACGGTTCGCTCTTTGGAAATTTCTAATGATAATTATACAATTGCCATAAATTTATTAAAGCAGAGATATGATAACCGACGTTTAATCTTCCAGGCCCACATCGTAAAGATCTTAGGTCTCAAAAGAGTAGAAAACGGATCCATAATCAAGCTGCGTGAGCTATCTGACAGCTTCAATGTCCATATGCGTGCGCTCAGTAGTCTGGGCACAACAGAGCAGATAGCCAGTGCCATGATTGCTCAGATACTGCTACAGAAGCTTGATGAGGCCTCACAAGCTAAATGGGAAGAGAAATTGGACAACTCAGAGACGGCTCTTCAGATACCCAGATATGAAGAAGTCTCCCTCATTTCTTGAGCTTCGAAGCCGTACTTTGGAATCGATGAAATTTGCTCTTACAAACTATTCGTCAAGTAAGCCGATGAATTCTTGCAGTAAGGTTGCTACCAGTAGATCAGCATTTCTCGTAACCGGCCACAGTACTCACAGTTGCAATTTTTGTAATGATCTTGAGCACACAATCTACAAATGCCCAAGATTCGCAAACTTGTCTCCTAGTCTTCGCCTGAATGAGGGTCCGAAAGGCTGGCTTATGTTTGAATTGTCTCAAGGGAGGTCATCAGTCGCGACAATGTGGCTCGCGCAGTTGTCGGGTCTGTGGAGTCAAGCATCATACGCTTCTTCATCTCGGCCACTCCAGCACATCGCAGGCAGCAATTCCGCCCCATCAACAATCTTCAACATCAAGAGTACAGACCATCCCTCAGCCCTCAGCACCAGCCACTACTCTCTTATCCAAGGATCGGCACAGCGATGTTGTGCTCCTGGCTACCGCAGTGGTTCTGGCAAGGGAATCGGTTTGGCGAGCTTGTTCCTTGTCGTGCGCTTTTAGATTCAGGCTCTCAACTACATCTCATTACAGCCAGATTTGCAGAATCTCCTGCAACTTAAGAGAACAAAATCGGTGGCATCT